GCTCTTCCGATCTTGAATTCGCAAATATGCGCAAAAAAACTTTGCGTTTTCTGTACAGTCTAAGGGACTAGATTTAACGTAAAAATAATCCCGACGCGATATAATATGTTACAAGCACATTTATATAAATATAGTATGTTTCGTACATTATAAAACGTACTGTTTAAAAATTTAAATGATTCTAAAAAAGGATAAAATTTACTCTAAACTATGTTACTTTAACATTCAAATCATGCAGAAGCAAAAGAAAATTAATATATTTTAGCGCAATAATTTTTTCCACCTAGATTGCGAAAATATCATACTGTGCGCCGGCCGACTTTAAATCAGCGCTAAACACGTACATTAAATGATCTACCGTCAACCGCCTTTAGTTCCACGTTAAAACCCGCACGTAAAATTGTCTACACGTCGGCATCGAATTCTAATGTATATCTTTAAATACAGAATCAATATGTCTTTTATAAATCGCAACCTAATGAGTTTACTTAATTAATTTTCTTTCGTGTCTCCGGACCTGCTCTCGTCCCTGGGACCGACTGATGCATATCCACGCATTTACCGCCGTACGGGAAGACAGGTCATTTGTCCACGGTCATTGTGGACAAAGTGCAAAGATCCAAACGAAAATTAACCAGAGTTTCTTGAGACAGTATAAAAGATAGAAATATTAAAAATTGATATTATTATGATGAAATAGTTCTTAACATTTTTTTGTATAAATTTTACATAAATAATTTTAAAAACCATTAACTGTGTGTAAAGAAATATTCATAATAATATACCTACAGGATATCCCATTTCAATATACATATCAAAATATCTAAAAAAAATACCGAAAAATATTTCAAAAAGTTTCAAAGACAAAAATGTTGACTTTGAGGAGGACATATGGTACCATTGATTTGACCTTGGGCGGCACTGTCAAGATCTTTGAATTTTTTAAATGGAACTTCTATTTTTCATGCATATTCTCGTAGCTTATCTCGATTTTCAAAACATTATATAAAAGAAATGTAAATCTGACTGGACAATCTTCGCGTGGTATACCTCGGGTAATGCTAATGTCGATAGTATTGTAACTTTCAAGCCTTATAACTCGAAAATTACTTAATAAAAAATATTTTATTATGGTGTCTTGAAAAGCTTTCGAGATAAGCTATGAGAATATATAATGAAAAATAGGAGTTCTTTTTAAAAAATTGAAAGTGACCTTGACAGTGCCCAATGTTAAATTAATGTCCCCATCATCTTATGTCCCCTTCGACGTCATAATAAAATTTTTATCTTTGAAACTTTTTGAAACATTTTTTGGTGTTTTTCCGAGATATTTTGATGCGTATATTAAAATAAAACTATATATTATTATATATTATTATGAATATTTTTTCACACATAGTCAATGGTTTTCTTAATCACTTATGTGAAATTCATGAAAAAAAGTTAATTTTTTTAACTATCATCATAATAATATCAATTTTTAAATCATTTCTATCTTTAAATATGTCCTTTTTCGACTTTAGAACTGAATATAACACCAATGGCATTACTCAATTCTTCTCATCTTCGTATATCTTTTATCTTGTATATGATGACATAATTTTGAATAAGTAAATTTAGGAGGGTTTCTTCAAGATGAACAAGACATCTAAGTATGTCACAACATAAAATCCCATGTAAATTTAGATTTTTTTCAAGGCTTTTACATCTCTAAAACTATTAGATTTTGCAAGAAACCGTCTTACAGGGCTTTGTGTTCTATAATAAGAACTAAAATAGTCCAATATGACCTAATTTGGCGAGAGTCCAGAAAACGACTATAATGACAATGTTCCTTTTCATATTCTTAACATTCTTAGAAGAGACCAGGGCTCGTTAGCACAATTTCTATAATTTCAACATTTGACTTTTTAAACAACTATTTATTTATTATAATTCAATCGTACTAATATTAGTACGGTTCTCACATGATAGAGAGAACCTTTCTCTATATTTTTATGCTAAATACGATTCTGTATACTATATGTACTTCGTTCACAACAAGAGCACATCGGCCTCTGCGCATGCAGACAGGATGATGGAAAGAGTGCTTTCCAAGCGTTCTGTGGAGGGGACATGCGCAAGACGGACGAATTTTCGTCGAACTTAGGTATGCTCTTGCTGTGGACGGAGTATATTCTTTTATATTCTTTGTAATAAATAAAATACGAACATATTACATTGTAGCCAGTTTATCCCGATAAATTGATATATACTACGGTGTAGATGCCTGTACGACAAATTCCATATTAAATTAATAAAAACATAATAGAAATAAAAAACAGATCGTATGTAATTGAAGGGGGAGGGGGGGGGGGGCAAATAGTGACAGGG